GGAAGAAGTCAAAGCTGCACTGAAGGAAGTGGCAAAAAACAAGGCTCCAGGAATTGATGGGATACCCATTGAGTTGTTTCAACAGACGAATGCTGTGCTGGAGGCACTTGCTTGGCTATGTGAAGAGATTTGTAAGACAGCTACCTGGCCAAGTGGCTGGAAAAGATCCATATTTGGACCCATTGTAAAGAAAGATGATCCCATACAATATGGAAATTATCGAACAATATCATTAATATGACATGCAAGTAAGATCTTGCTGAAGATACTTCAAAACTGGTTGCAGAAGGATATTCACAGGGAACTTCCAGAAATGCAAGCTGGATTCAGAAGAGGATGTGGAATGAGGGATACCATTGCTGATGTCAGGCAGATCTTGGCTAAAAGCAAGGAATACCAGAAATATGTTTACTCCTATTTTATTGACTATGCCAAAGCACTTGATTTGGTGGATCATAACAAATTATGGGTTACATTGAGAATAATGGGAATTCCAGAACACTTGAATGTGCTCCTCAGGAACCTGTACTTAGACTGGGAGCCTGTCATTCAAACAGAATAAAGGAATATTGCATGGTTTAAAATCAGGAAGGGAGTGCATCAGGGTTTATCCTTCCACCATATTTACTCATTCTCTATGCTGAGCAAGTAAGCTGAGAAACTGGACTATAAGAAGAAAAATGCAGCACGGGATTGGAGGAAGACTCATTAACAATCTGCCATATACAGATGACACATCCTTGCTTGCTGAAAGTGAAGATGACTTGAAGCACTTACTGATGAAATTTGAAACTCCAGTCTGCAGTATGGATACACATCAACATCAAGAAAATGAATATCCTCCCAGCTGGACCAATAAGCAGCATCGCAATAAAGGGAGAAAAGATGGAAGTTGTAAAAGATTTCATATTACTTGGTTCCATAGTCAACATCCATGGAAGCAGTAGTCAAGAAATCACATGATATATTTCCTTGGGCAAAACTTCTGCAAAAGACAACTTTCAAGTGCTGAAGAGCAAAGATGTCTCTTTGAGGACTAAAGTGTGCCTGACCCAAGCCATGGTGTTTTCAGTCACCTCATATGCTTGTGAAAGCTGGACAATGAATAAGGAAGACTGAAGAAGAGTTGATGTTTTGAGTTGTGGTGTTATCAAAGAATATTTAAAGTATCATAGATGGCCAAAAAAAACTAAGAGCTCCATCCTGGAAGAAGTGCAGCAGGAATGCTCCTTGGAAGCAAAAATGGCTAGACTTCATCTCACCTATTTTGGTCATGTTGTCAGAAGGTAACATTCCCTGGAAAAGGATATCATGCTGGGTAAAGTGGAGGGTCAGCAAAGAAAGGGAAGGACCTCAAAGAGATAAATTGACAATGTTGCTGCCAACTATAGACTCAGATATAGTAAGGATTGTGAGGCTGATGCAGGACCGGGCCGTGGTTCGTTCTGTCGTACATAGGGTCACTATGAGTCAGAACTGACCTGACAGCACCTAACAATGAGCACATTTGCCTGAAAGTTGAGCCATAGGGATGAATTCAGTTTACAGGGTATCTGGAGGCAAAGTCTTGGGAGTTTTACTGGCCTCTGTCAGACCAGTACATCAGAAAACCAAATTCAATGCCATCGAGTTGATTTCAATTCATAATGACCCCAATTGGTTTCCAAGGCTGTACATCTTTATGAGAGCAGACTTCCCCATCTTTTATCCACAGAGCAGTTGGTAAATTCAAACCACGAACCATTTGGTTAACGACAGATTCCTTAACAACTATATCATGAGAACTCCTTTCAAGTCAGTAAGCCTAGTCTTTTTTTTTTATGATTTTGAATTATGTTTCACAAATTTTCCTCACTCTATCCAGGACCTCCTATTGTAATTCCTTTTGAAGCAGAAAGTATGAGATCATTATATATGTATAAATATATCAATCTATCATATCATATCATATCATATCATATCATATTTTCTTTTTTAATTTCTTTGATTCTTTTATTTCCTTTGTTGATACTTTTGAATTTGGGGAATTTCTATGTAAGGTGTGAAATTGGGGCCAACTCTTACAGTGAATAGCTACTTATTGCTGCCTTTTGATTGTATAAATATTTAGGTTATTCTTTGTTTTCAAAGAAAATTCTGATATGTCATTTTCTTGAGTGCCAACTAAACCCTTTTATGTTTTACTTAGGTTACTAATTGTCACGGAAAAGAAGAAGAGCTATTGCATAAAATCCACATGTTGCAAGATGAAATTGCCGTGCTAAAACTGGAAGTAAATACATTAAAAAACCAGAACCAAGAAAAAGAAAAATATATTCTGAGGACATTGCAGTGGTAAAAAGAAAAAAAAAATGATGATCTTCAAAAGACAATCAAAGAGAATGAGAAAATTCTAACAGCAACAGTATCTCATTATCATGGAAAGCTTAAAGTTCTGAAAAGTGAGAAAGCAATGCTAACAGAAGAAAATGATGATCTTCAAAAGACAATCAGACAGATTGAGAAAATTCTAACAGAAACCGTATCTCAGTATTGTGGAAAGCCTAATGTTCTGATACCTCAGAATGCAATGCTAACAGAAGAAAATGATGATCTTCAAAAGACAATCAGACAGATTGAGATAATTCTAACAGAAACCATATCTAAGTATTGTGAAAAGCTTAATGTTCTGAGAACTGAGAATGCAATGCTAACAGAAAAAAAAAAAAAAAAGCTGATCTTCAAAAGACAATCAGACAGAATGAGAAAATTCTAACAGAGACAGTATCTCAGTCTGGTGGACAGCTTAATGTTCTGAGAACTGAGAATGCAATGCTAACCTCTAAATTGGAGAATGAAAAACAAAACAAAGAAAGACTGGAAACCGAAGTTGAATCATACCGTTGTAGGCTGACTGCTGCTACATGCGATCACGATCAAAGTCAGGCATCAAAAAGAAACTTAGAACTTGGTTTGCAGAGAGCAAGAGATGAGTGCTTTCATTTACAGGACAAAATGAGTTTTGATTTGTCTACCCTAAGAGATAGCAACACGACTCTAACCAAACAGCTGTCCAAAGATGAAAGCAATTTCAGTAGCCAAGAAACTGAGTTACATCAAGCTAAAGATGCTCTAAGAGAAAAGATGTTGGTTTTAGAATCCGTTCAGAGAGACCTAAGCCAAACACAGAGTCATGTGAAGGAAATGTGTCAAAACTTACAATGTGAAGTAAATAAAACACTTTGGAAAACTGGAGTCCATAGAGAAAAGATCATCCCAACTAGAAAGTGAAAATATGTTGCTTCGACAACTACTGGATGATGCATACATCAAAGCTGACATTAAAGAAAACATGGTAATTGATATGCAAGCCAACTGCATGATACTGTAAAAAAACCTTCAAGGTGAAAGTGAAAAACAAAGACTTAAGCTTGAAGAGAGAAATAAGGAGTAAATCAGTAAATATAATCACTTAAAAGGACAGATGTATAAGTTTGAAAATGAGAAAGTAGATAGAGAAGTAAGTATGGAGAAATAGAAGTGTTCTTCAAAGTTCCTGAAAAATATTGAAAGTATTTGATTGTAGCTAACTGTTGAATCAAGTTGACTACAACAATATATACGATGTAAACTTATTTGCTGTATCATCTTAGAATATACCTTGTATCGAGCATATCAAAATTAGATCTGAGAGGTACCTTACTTTAAGGAACAGCATTTTGTCACATATGAAATTCTAAGAGGTTAAGTTATAAATTTTTTTAATAAGTAGAGGCTGGTTTTAATAATTTAGTCTGATATTGTTGAAATAATCATTTTAATGTTGTTATATCACCATACTATTTCTGTGATGGAGCAGATAATCAGAAATCTGTATACCTAAAATGAATATTTTTGAAAGTAGGATTCAATTGAGTGGATTACCTTGGTTGACAGTCAATTCCAGATCCCAGCTGAAATGGAATTGAGATGGTATATCTTATAATAAGGAGCTCTGAAGGCACAGTGCTTAAGACATTTGACAGCTAACCAGAAAGCAGGCTGTCCATACCCACCAGCTGTTGGGCTGGTGGTTACCTTCTGTTGTACATAAGGTCACTGTGATTCTGAACTGACTCAACAGTACCTGACAACAGTAACAATGGTCTATAAAGAACCTGCCATTTCAGAACTATTGTTGTTATGTGCCATCAAGTTGGACCCGACTCAAAGCCACCTCTTCTTGGGTTTCCGAGGTGGTACCACTACAGAAGGAGATAGCCCAACCTTCCATTGGAGGAGTGGCTGGTGGGTTTGAACCACCAGCCTTCTGGTTAGCAGTCAAGTGCCTTAGGTACTATGCTCCTAGAGCTCCCATTGTAAATATGGAAGAGTCTAGTTGTTTCCTGTTCAGGGCATGTAAATGACTGTCAGAACACAGAGTATTGCTTTTTATCAAGTAGGTGACTTCACAAATATAAAATGAACGAGTAATGTAAATGTAATTTGCTAATAATTACTTTCATTTCAAGGCTCAGTTACTATCATTTGGAGGCAAATTTGCCCAATGCGAAGGTAATTGTATCTCTATGATTTATTATATTGTTACGAGATCCCTCTTTTCAGACTAATGTTGGGTGGTGGGCTTCACAGTGTAGCAGAATGGAGTGAAGAGGGGCGAGAGTTGCAGGAGCTGAGGTCAGGGAGTGAGGTGAGGCAAGGTTACAATAGGGCCTTGGAGGCTATTATAATGACTTTTATTCTGAATGAGATAGGAGCCAATTGGAAAGACTTGAGTGGAACATTGAACATGTGAGGGACTCTGGAATTAACTTTAGATTCTAATTAAAAAAGGGGAAATATTCCACATGGTCAAATTTACCACTGCCCCTCCAATCCACATTTCTGTTGACCTATCAGTAGGTTTGTTGTTAAGCTATGTAGAATTTGTGGTCTAATAAACATAATGCTGTTTAGGCAAGGAGATAACAGGGTCGGTGTCCTTAACCTTGAATTTGGTGATAAAGAGGATTGTAATCATATGAGGAAATGAAGATGAATTATGTGTATATGTTGTGATATTTTTCAAATATATATGTTAGAGTTCCATATGGTTAGCATAGTTTATTGATAAAGTGGTTTATAAAATCAGTGACGAAAATATCTTACCAGGCAGTTGTGAGACAACTTCAACAAGAACTGGCTGAGACAAAGTCTATGTATTCCATGATGTTAGAAGATGAGACATTAGGTCCAATCATGAGACAGGTATGTAAGAAGTTTAACGTGTCAACGGTTACTATATGATTGGTTAAGTAATATAAACAGTTTATGATACAAATTTCATCTTTTGTATTTTCATTATAATTTTATTATCTTTATAATGCACTTATTAAACTCTGGATTTCATTCTGGTAGCGTTAATACAAATGCTTATCATTTGTATTATAAGTTTTTTTTAAGAATATTTACCCTTAAGAAGGTTGAAGGTTTTACATAATTTTTCATAGAAGTTGAGTGAGTATTTTTGGCACTAAATTGTATTTATTTATTTTTTTTTAGTAATATCTCTATTTTCATGGAGAGGCAGGCCACATTACATCAGCGAATGATGTTTAATGAAATACTCCAGAAAATCTTCATGTCTTTCATCTTGATCTTTGTGAATACTCAATCTCTCTCTATATATATATTTCATAGATTTCGAGATAACTTGCCATAGAAAGCCCATTATATTATTTTCCAAATGGCAAAATTGTAAGGTTGTTTCATAAACCATTTGGGAAATTATGTGTTTCCTTCAATTTCCTTTTGTTTTTGATGTGTCGTAAGTGCATAGAAATATTCTGATTATATATATTATGTACACCCAAAAGTGATAATTAAGAATCTAGATTCCACCACTGGATTTTTTAAACAACTTAATTTATATTAAATTCACATACTATTCAATTTGCCTATTTAAAGTATGCAATGTCATGGCCTTTAGTATGTTCATAGACTTGTGTAATCATCATCACTCTCAATTCTAGGATATTTTCATCATCCCCAGAGGAAACCCTGCATCCCTTAGCTGTCACGCCTCACTCTTCCCATGTCCCTAGATAACAACCAGTCTATTCTGTTTCTAGATTTGCCTTTTTTACTTACAGTAGATGAATAATGTAATGTATTATTTATGATTGGCTTCTTTCACTGATCACAGTATTACACTGTATGTACAGACTACACTTGTGCATGCATTCACTTGTTCATTTTCATTTGCATGGTTTCTGCTTGTTGCCTATCATGAATGATGTTGCTATGAACATTTGTGTATAGGTTTTATGTGGACATGTTGTCTTGCCATTGGATTGTATCCTAAATTGTTTGTGCTTATTTCACCATCCCTGTGCCTTTACTCCTGTTGTCCTTTCAGCTTTTCAGCTAACATAATCTTATGTTTATTCACATGTGGCTTTCTTATCTCCCCTTCTCCATGAAGCTGTCTCTGACTGTCCTTTCATTGGCCTCTCTCTTTTTAGCACTTGTCATCTAGTCTGTGAAGAACAACTAGGCCCTTAAATTTATGTTACTTTTTTTCCCATGAGAGATACTATTCTCTTTTTAACTATAAATTTTCTAATATCTAATATGCACATCACCTATCCTTGTAAAAATTGAAAATATTTTAGCTTAATAGATAATAGACTAATGTTAAGTACTTTATACCATACCAATAGTTTCCTTGAGATATTGACATAATTATGTATTTATTCCAAATTTACTTTAAACAATTAAGTATAAACTTTAAAACAATTAACTTAATAGGAAAGAATGTTTTCCCTCAATATATATAAAAAAGAAAGCAATCTCAATTTGCCTTACTTCACTGTGCAGCCAGAACTGGGACTTACAGATTTATAGCACTTTACCAACTAGAAAGCTTTGAGAACTAGTGTTTCTGATATACTCTAGCACATAACCTTAATCTGCTCATCAACATACTTGTCCAGCATAAACACTTGATAGGAATAAATCAAGTTAGGAATCTTGATTTAGCATTTGCTGTTATCAGGTGCCACCAAGTTGGCTCCAACTCATAGCGACCCTCACAACAGAATTAAACACTGCCTGATCCTGCCCCAACTTCACAATCCATGCTATACCTGAGCCCATTATCACAGCCTCTGTGTCAATCCATCTGTCTGAAGGCCTTCTCCTTTTTTGCTGACCCTCCACTTTAGCAAGCATGACATCCTTCTTCAGGGAATAAATGATCCCTTCTGACAATCACACCAAAGTAGGTGAGACGAAGTTTGGCTGTTCTCGCTTCCAGGGAGCATTCCTGCTGTACTTTTCCAGGACAAGGTTGTCAGTTCTGGCAGTCCATGGTACTTTTAGTATTCTTTACCAACACCACAACTCAGAAGCATCAACTCTTCTTAGGTTGTCCTCATTCATTGTCTAGCTTTCACATGCATATGATGCAATTGAAAATACCATGGCTTGGGTTAGGCACCTTAGTGTTCAAAGAGGCATCTTTGGTTGTCAGCACTTGAAAGAGGTCTTTGGCAGCACATCTACTCACTGCAATATGTCATCTGATTTTTTGACTGCTGCTTCCATTGGTGTTGATCATGGAACCAAGTCATATGAAATCTTTGAAAACTTCTGTCTTTTCTCCACTTAGCATGATGCTGCTTATTGGTCCATTGTGAGGATATTCATTTTCTTGATGTTGAAGTGTATCTATACTGCAAACTGGAGTTTGAATCTTCATCAGTAAGTGCTTCAAGTCATCTTCACTTTCAGCAAGCAAAGTTGTGTCACCTGCATATTGCAGGTTGTTAATGAGTCTTCCTCCAGTCCTGATGCTGCTTTCTTCTTCATATAGTCCAGCTTCTCCGCTTAGTTGCTCAGCATGCAGATTGAATAACTACGATGAAAGGATACAACCTGATGCATTCCCTTCCTGATTTTAAACCAGACAGTATTCCCTTGTTCTGTTTGAATGACAGCCTCTTGGTCTATGTACAGGTTCCTCATGAGCACAATTAATTCTGGAATTCCCATTCTTTTCAATGGTTTTCATAACTTGTTATGATCCACACAGTCAAATGCTTTTGCATTATCACTGAAACACTAGTAAACATCTTTCTGGTATTCTTGGCTTTCAGCCAAGATCCATCTGCCATCAGCAATGATATCTCTTGTTCCACTTCCTCTTGTGAATCCAGCTTGCATTCCTGGAAGTTGCCTGTGAATATGCTGGTACAACCATTTTTTAATTATCTTCAGCAAAATTGTACTTGTGTGTGATATTAATGATATTGTTAGAAAATTTCTACATTCTGTTGGATCACTGTTTTAGCAGTAGACTCCTATATTTTTAGGTTAATGGTTTTACTTGGCTCTAACTGCCATGTAAGTTGTAAACTACTCAACTCTGTAGGCATTATTTGCATTGTAGTCTGTCACCATTCACTGTGAACAGCACATAGAGAAAGTGAGTTGTAAATTAGAAAAGGAAGAGAGGACTTTTAGCTAGTGGGATTGGTGAAATGTCTGTGAAACAGTAGGAACCTATGCTGGGCTTCATACTCCCCATTTGGTGCCACTTTAAATTGTACTAAAAATGATTCAGTATGACTTGTGAAAGAGACTGTTTCTGCTGGCAGACCACCAGATTAAAATACCAAATTTTATTTGACCATAAAATATAGTAACAATAATAATGCTAGTTGTTGTTGTTGTTATGTGCTGTCGAGTTGGACCCGACTCATAGAGACCCCACCTTGGGTTTCCGAGGCAGTATCACTACGGAAGTATTGAACACTTACATGTAGCTCGCTCTGTGCCAGGTATTCTTCTAAGTATTTACATATATACCCTAATAGAATATTCCCAAGAACTGAGTGAATTAGGTACTATTTTTATGTGTATTGTACCGATAGAGAGGCTGAGACACAGAATGTTTAAAAATTTGCTCAATGTCACACAGCTAATAACTTCTGGAGCTGGGATTTCAACCCATGCATGATGACTCCTATATTGATGCTCTGTCTCATACTATTGTATGAAACATCTAGTCACCTACAGCAGCATATTAGTTTTAATAATCACTGGTGTAGTCATGGTCATCCTCATATGTAAAACTTTAAATTGATGGCTGATGCGTAGTACTCAGAATGCAAACATATACAAATGTTTACACTAAGGTAATTTCCTATCTAGATTCATCAGTTCTGAAATTTGAGTATTCATCTGATAAAATGTAATTTAAAAACAAGAATAGTATTGCATTTTAGGACCAGAACAGGGATCAGTGAACTTTTTTCTAAAGGGCCAGGTAGGAATTATTTTAGAATTGACAGGTCATAAGGTCCATATTGCAACTAACAAACTCTAACACTGGAGCATGACTTCGCCACAATCAGGATGCAAGTAAATGTGTATGACTGTGTTCCAATAAGATTTTAATTACAAAAATAGATGATGAGTGAATTTGTACCAGTAAAGTGCTTTCTTTTACTTTTTCTTTTAGTTTGAAGAAGCAGAGAACCTACACACAGCAGCAGTATGAGGTGTTGAGAAGTTGCAAGAAAGACTGCAAAAGTAAAATTTTAAGTTGTGCAGAAAATATGTGTATTTATAAAGCAAATAAGCAATATAGTGTAAGAATTATATCAGTCATGGTAATAAGCACATGTGTGTAAGCTGGCTTTCAACTATTTTGGCTTTCAACTCTTTTGAAATACATTATTTTTGCATATTATCCTTATTAGTCCACAAACTACACTTAGGACAGTGACACAATTGCCAAAGTATCTACTTTTCAAATTATTAAGAAGTTATATAATCATACTGTTTGGTTTTGTTCAGAAACTACATAGTATTTTTAAATCTGTGTGTGACAATAACTGTTTTTAAATGTACATTTTAGACTTGAACTTGAGAATGCTGAGCTGAAACTTAAAATCACAACTCAAATGCGAATAATTGAACACCTTAGGAGAAACATGACAGGTGCGAGTTCAGTGAGTCAATCTCTTGATGGATATCTGTCATGCTCCAAGGAAGTTTTATTTCTCGATCAGTAGTATTTAAGAATATTTTGGCCCATTGTTTTTAGTTGCTGTCGATTCCGACTCATAGAGAGCCCATGTGTGCAGAGTAGACTTTCTTCTCAGGGTTTTCAAGGCTGTGGCTTTTCCATAGCAGATTGCCAGGCCTATCTTTCATGGCCTCTCTGGAGGGTGGGAGGGCTGAGCCACTAACCTTTTAGCTAGTAGTTGATCCTGTAATTGTTTGTGCTACCCAGTAACTCTGGTCTATACACATATGACTCATGAATTCATCAAGAACGTATTTTACCAAAGGAAGAATGAGCCTCTCTATATTTTTAAATAACTTTGATTTGCATTTTTTTTTTAAAGTAGAAGATGGGAAGGAGTGAAATGCTTGGAGCAGGAAATGATGGGAATGCTAATTTAGACAGAAAAATTGCTAGGTAAGATTTTAATATTTCAGACCACTTCTATTATATGTGAAATTATTGAGTTAGCTCTAATTTTACTTCATGGAGACCTAAATAAGAATTTGTATTATGCCTACATTTCATAATTAAACCAATTATTCTATTTTAAAATTTACTTTAGGAACTCACATCCCAATCTGAAACTTTTTTGAATGCCATTTGCATGTAATAAGGAGCTCTTGTGGTGTAGTGGTTAACACATTTACCTGCTAAATAAAAAGTTGTCAGTTTGAACCCACCAGCCTCTCTGAGGGAAAAAGATGAGAAAGTCTGCTTTCCTAAAGATTTGCAACGTTGCAAACCTTATGGGGCAGTTCTGCTCAGACCTATAGGGTCAGTGTGAGTCCGGATCGAATTGATGGCAGGGAGCTTTTGGTTTGCACATGTCAAGTACACTCTTCATTTTCTACCTGGAATGTATTTCTGCAAGATATCTTTGCTTTCCTTTTAGTAGTATTCTGCCCTTCAGCACTCAAAGATTTTAGTGTCTAAACACTCATTTTTATCATTTTTTAACATCAAAAATAAGCTTCATTTGCTTCTATTTCCTTTCTGTCTCCTTTTTTAATCTATAAAATGTAATCTTTAAGGAAGCAGATCACCAGATCTTTCTCCTCTAGGTTCAGAACTACAGCCAGCCTCCCAGCTAGCAGTTGAGTGCTACCAGGCCAAAGCCATCATATGGAGCAGTCCTGTTCTGTAATGTACAAGGCTGCCTTGAGTCGGTGGCCAAATTGACAGTAACTAGTAACAACAACGTTGTTCTAACTAAAATTTCTGTATGATGACAATGAGTAGTTGCAAATGAGGTAGAAAGAAGTAATCACAGATATTACAAATAGGAGGCAAATATTTAAGCAAGAGTTTTGAGGAGAAAAATAACATTTGGTAGTCCCTTAACCCAAGTCATGTAAAAATGCAATTTATGTTTTACATAGTGTTTCTTAATGGTAATATAAAATTATTTCAATAAACATCTTCATGTAGTATTAATTTCATACAGCCTGTGAGTATGCTAATGTCACACAAACATCAAGGAAAATAGACTCTCAAAATATTGGCACAAATGTAACCCAAAATGGTTTCCTATTTTCACATCTAGACCAAGTTCAAAACAAACAAACAAACAGACAGAAAAAAAAAAAAAAAAAGCAAATTACTGCCATTGAGTCAGATCTAACTCACAGTGACCCTTCTTTGGGTTTCTGAGACCATATCACTACTGACAGTATCTCAAGCTGAAATAACTGAGGAAAAACTTTAAGCCTTGAGTTGTAATATTGAAGGTTTCTATGGGCAAAATATTGAATGATGCAAGAAGCATCAAAAGAAGATGAAAGGATATACAGAGTCACTATACAAAAAAGAGCTGGTAGACGGTCATCCATTTCAGGAGGTGTCATATGATCAAGAACCAATGGTACTGAAGGAAAAATTTGAAGCTGCACTGAAGGAATTGGTGAAGAATAAGGCTCCAGGAATTGATGGCATACACATTGAGAGGTTTCCGCAAGCAGATGCCCCCCTGGAGGCACTCACTCAGTTATGCCAAGAGATTTGGAAGACAGCTACCTGGCCAACTGACTAGAAGAGATCCATATTTGTACCATTCCAAAGAAAGGTTATCCCACAGAATGTGGAAACTATCAAACAACATCATTACTATTGCAAGCAAGTAAAATCTTACTGAAGATAATTCAAAAATGCTTGCAGCAGTATATTGACAGAGAACTTCCAGAGGTGCAAGCTGGATTCAGAAGAGGACGTGGAACAAGGGATATCATTGCAGATGTCAGATGGAACTCAGCTGAAAGCAAAGAATACCAGAAAGATGTGTACTTGCGTTTTATTGACTATGCAAAAGCATTTGATTGTGTGGATCATAACAAATTGTGGATAACGTTGAGAAGAATGGGAATTCCAGAACACTTACTGTACTCATGGGGAACCTATACCTTGAAAGGAAGCTATCATTTGAACAGAACAAGGGGGCACTGCATGTTTTAATATCAAGAAGGGAGTGTGTGAGGGTTGTATCCTTTGGCTACACTTATTCAATCTATATGCTGGACAAACCATCTGAGAAGCTGGACTATATGAAGAAGAACATGGCATCAAGATTGGAGGAAGAATCATTAACAACCTGCGATAGGCTGATGATACAACTTTGCTTGCTGAAAGTGAGGATGACCTGAAACACTTACTGATGAAGATTGAAGAATACAGTTTGCAGTAAGGATTACACCCCAATATAAAGAAAACAAAAATCCACACAACTGGACTTATAAGAAGCAACATGATAAATGTCAAAGAATTCACATTGCTTGGATCTACAATTGATGGCAATGGAAGCAGCAGTCAGGACATCAGATGACACAGAGCACTGGGCAAGTCAGCTGCAAAGGACCTCTTTCAAGTGCTGAGACACAAAGATGTCTCCTTGAAGACTAGGGTGCCCCTGACACAAGCCATGGTATTTTCAGTCATTTCCTATGCATGTGAGAGCTAGACAATGAATAAGGAAGACATAAGAAAAATTGATGCTTTTGATTTGTGGTTCTGGTGAAGAAAACTGAAAATACTATGGACTGCTAAAAGAACTAACAAATATTTCCTGGAGAATGTGTAGCCAGAATGCTCCTTGGAAGCAAGAATGGCCAGACTTCATCTCACCTACTTTGGTAATTTTATCAGAAGGGACCATTTCCTGGAGAAGGATGTCATGCTTGGCTATGTGGAGGGTCCATGCAAGAGGGGAAGGCCCTCAATGAGATGGATTGGCTGTGGCAGATGGGCTCAAGTACAGTAGGAATCATGGAGTTGGTGCAGGACCGGGCAGTATTTCATTCTACTATGAATAGGGTCGCTATGAGTTGAAGATGAGTGGACTATACCTAACATCAACAATAACAACATCACTATGGAAATAGATTGCCCAATCTTCCTTCTGAAGTGTGACTAGTGGGTTTCAATTGCCAGATTTCTGGTTAGCAGTCAAATGCCTTAGACACTACGCCACCAGAGCTCCCATCTAAACTTTGTAAGGCCATTTGATGTCACAGTATCATTATCATCACAAAGTTTTTGTTTTATTCAGTATACTGGTAGCATAGTGCCTAAGGCACTTAACTGGTAACCAGAAGGTTACCAGTTTAAACCCCCAGCCACTCCTTGGAAGGAAGGTTGGGTGATCTACCTCCGTAGTGATACTGCCTCAGAAACACAAGGAGGGGTCATTATGAGTTGGAGACAACTTGATGGCACATAACAAGGACAACAACAACATACCCTTATAAGAAAGATTTAACTAATAATACTCTAGATGGGGATGCTTGTAATAGAGGTTGAAATAGTCCCATACCTTTCATAATTATGTTAGTAAATCTAACTATAAATATACTCAAATGTTTCAATATCTGGCCCTAATTTATGAAAAGAAAATGTTACTATTCCACAATTACCAAAAAGGATTGGTTGATTTTCAGCCATTTCAGGAATTAGCATATGATTAAGAACCAATAGTACTGAAGGAAGAAATCCA